TTCTGCGTGGCTGAGGTGGAAGTGGTGGTGGTGGGGGAGGTGGAGATGGTGGTGGTGGTGGGGGAGGTGGAGATGGTGGTGGAGGTGTTGTTGTGCTCAATGATATTATTCACCACAGAGCCTGAGGGATTCTGACTGTCGTTGTTTGGCTTCTCTTCTACAGCAACTGGGTTCACGTATAAAAACCTGCACTGCTCTGCAATGGTTTCTTGAGTCTTCGCTGGTTCCTTTTCGTTTAAATCCGACGTCCAAAAGTCTGTAACACATGGACTTAATGTTAAACAGTCTCTTAGTGATCAAAAATCATTCTTTAGACATTAAAGTTTTCATTCTAATAAAAAAAAAACGTTAAAAAAAAGTGAAGAAAGCTTCACATGTTTATTTAACTTAGTAAATTATAACAGCAACAATCATAATACAGTGCCTTATTTGTCCTACAATGGGGAAATTCACCATGTGAGACATTGTGACCCAGAAAGTCTCACACTGAGATATGCGGTTCCTCTGAGGCTCAAACCCAGGACCCTCTGTGTGTAAGGCCACTGAAATTCATGGGTTTGGTTCCACTGGTTACTTTACAACAAACTGAGATTAGTATCAATTACTCCACTCCAACTGTGTGTTGGAGTGGAGTAATTGTTATTGTGATATGACAGAAAACATCAACGTGTTATACCATTAAGTTTGCGTTTACATCATACTTTGTGTTGTGCATTGTTGCAACAGAGTCCATTTGTGTCTTCACTGACAAACAAAACTTGCTTTCTTCCATGATTCACATAGACCTTAGATGAATAAATATATATAATAGCTATAGATAGACCTTACAAATAATACAGTTCAACTGTTCAAATATAATGCAAACATCACCTGCTGTGCTAACCCCCTGCCATACTGATTGATTTTTAATCTTAAAGTAATGAAATAATATCTGCTCATTAATGCTGGTTTACTATGTAATTAATGTAATTAATCCAACACAGCCCTCAGTTCAATATCGCTTTAGCTGAGTTGTCTGTACCTGCTCCTGCAGCAGCGATGACCTCCAGCTCCTCTCTCGTACTCGCCTTGGTAATGGCCTCTGGTAACCTCAGTCTGACGGTCAGGATGTCCCTGATTGGTGGATTCAGTCAGACGGTTTTCAGTGTTATTGAGACACTCTCTTAACTTCTTTCAGTGTGTGTCTTTGTACGTTTCTACATTTTGTGCTGTGATTACAAGGCTGTATTTAAACATAGAACCATCTTTAGGAGGAAGTAACACTGGGTTAGCTAAGATTAAATACGGATAAAATAATGACAGACAGAGAATTTCTATTGGGTTATGTCGGGGTTCTTTCCAAATACCGACAGTGTACATCTCCATTATTTTATTTTGGTTAATTTCCTGAATCAGTTCACTAGGAATATTTACTTTATTTATAAATCTGTTGACAGCCAATTATTTATTTATTTATAAATCTGTTGACAGCCAATTTAACACATACATTTGAGAAAAATATAACAGCTTATTTTTCAATCAAATGGCAGCTGTCCAATGTATTATATGTTCACAAATGTTGGTTTAAAGCAACAGTAATTTAATTCAACACTTGAACAAACCAAAGGGCAGCTCTAATCACCCAACAATTATATTTCTGAAGACCAAACAGGTTGACATTGAATCAAATAAAAATAACTGATACACTTCATAAACAGGCCGTTAACCAGCTGCAACCGCGTGACGCTCTCTTCTCAGCGCTTTTTCCCAAATTTCCCAAATAACATTTGCAGTATAATATATAATATAATATAACAAAGTATGAGAGCGCTAAGGGCAAAAGTGTTCCAAAGATGAATTATGAAAATGGACCTAGTGAAGTGGTCGGTGAGTAGAGTATTTTGTAGTAATGTGAGTGTGTCTTACCTGCTGGCACAGTAGAACGAGATCAGTTTAACAATGTCGTCAAAGACCAGAGACGAACCTTCTAAGTGGACAACTGTAACAGAGAGAAGAACCTGAGTGTTCTGCCTTGGTTCTAGTTCTTTAGATGTTGAAACTCTACTGTTTTACTGTGTCATGCTTTAATAGGAGCAGGTGGCAACAGTGTAATATAGCACAGTGTTAGCTTCTGGCTGGGGGCCTCCTTTACAAACCCACAGACAATGCTACAAAACATGTAGAGAAACATCTTGTATTTTCTTAATTATTATTAACAAACACGTTTTAGCACTGTATATTATTTCCCACTGAAATAATAAATATAATAATAAACTGTTGTTCTGATCTTCTGTCTATTTCTTATAAGAAATGTGTCCATTTTGCGCTCCTCAAGCTAGCGAGCAGCTAGCAACAGGCACTAACTGCCAGGACTACACCTATTACGACGAGTATTCAAGTATTGTGAGAAACTTGTGAATCTGATGATTAGGTTGTATGAGTCAGAACAAATGATTAAAAATGTTTTTTTGCTTTTCTTCCCTTCAATTTTCTGAGGACCCACTAGCACCCCCTGTGGTCCCCTTTGAAAACCACTGGTACAACGTACATGTCTGGTGTTGTTTGACTGTCAGACTGTGTACAAGCGGTGGTCCCTGTTCATCAGGCAGGCGTACTGACAGCATCAAGGCCTCACCATCATCACTGTGAACCAGGAAGGCCTGCAGAGGTCAGAATAATGGACAGCATGTAAAACTTGTAGCACGTTCTCATAATGAAGTTCTCTTGTGTAGTGTAGCTGTAACTCCAAATAATGGATTTCTGATTCTATTAATAAAAAACAAGACAGCAGTGAGACTTGCTATGATGTGCGGTGTAGAGACAGTGTCTCTGTCTTATAAACAAAAGGCTGAGTTGGAGGAGGCAGACATGAAGATGCTGAGATCTTTACTGGGAGTGACCAGGATGGAGAGGATCAGAAATGAGAAGATCAGAGGGACAGTGAAGGTGGAGAAAAGTTAGAGAGGAGAGGTGGAGGTGGTTTGGATGTGGAGAGATAGTGGAGATAGGGTGAGATGTCGATGAACAGAACAGTCAAAAGAAGAAGACAAAGAAGGCAAAATGACTATGACATGGTCCCTAATGAGGGAGATCTGATGAATATACTACTGAGAATGTAATGAGATAGCCTGGGATTAAATGTCAGGTCTGACAGGATCAGCACCAACAAAAACAGACTTACATTTGAAACAAAGAGCAGCATGTGCCACTGGTTAACACCAGAGTGCAGACGGGAGAAAAGCATTTGATGAGTGAGTCAGTTATTCTACAGTTGACTAACAGTTTGTGTGCAGATTTAATCTGATAGTTGAAATAACTGTGCTGGGATGGTTTGATGTCCGGCTGTACTGGCCACAGAAGATTACAACACACAAACATCTTGTTTCCGTACTCACCAAAATGCCTCAAGGACAAACAGCAAATAGAGACAGTGATGATGGAGGAAAACAACTTACCCACTGTGTGTGGTTCAAGCTGTTAATCTGTCAAATCCCATGTGACTTACAGTCTGGCCGTAAAAATACATTGTACTCGAAGTCACATCATTTACACAGGCAAGAATGCTAAAAGCATGCTAAATGAGAGAAAAAAGTATCTGATTGATATTGGTATCAGCAGATACTTCAAGTTGCAAAGTTCAAATCAGCTTAATTAATGTTTTAAATCCAAACAGATCACTTGCCAAAAAGCTCAAATCATAAACTTAAACTTAACAGATGTATTGATTAGGGATGTCCAATATTTACTTCATGACTATATTCGATATTGTCCAAACACTTCATTTCCGATTCCCATACCAATATACTGGGACAGTGGTGGAAGTTAAGTGTTGCCTGCTCACTAAGGAGACGGGTTAAAACAGTGTTTCTCAATCATCTTCTGCCCCCTGGGGGACAGAATTAAAATACTATTGAGCAGTAATATTTGTTTATTTATCTGTACAAACCACTGTAAGAGTTGTTGGCACCAGCATTCTGCATACAACCCCCTGATTATCACTATAGATTAAAAAAATAAGCTACAATGCTGCCATCTAGTGACTAGAGGCCTGTTTAGCGTTGATACTGTTCTGTGTTTATGTGGTATGAAGGGGTTATGGGGGGCCGGGGGACTGAGGAGGTGTGGTGAGAGCACGTGTGTGTATGAGGAAGAGAGAGTGCAGAGAGTGTGAGAAGAGGAAAATGCGTTGTTGGAGAAGCTGGGTTGAGAGCAGTAAAGGAGTTTAGAACGAGTTACTGCAGTTGGGTTTCAATAAAAGTTCTTCAGAGCACTGAGGCATCTGACTGGTCTGTTACCAGGGCATTAAACTATTTTTAGAGCAAATCCCAGGCATTGTGTATTGGGTTTTCATTGTCGGAGGAAAAACCGATAACCATTCCTACAGATATGACAAAATATGCTAATATCGGGCAGATAATATCAGTTGGACCGGACGTCCCTAATATTGATAATTTGTTAGATTTTACTTTTTTAAAATACAAATTGTTCAAAATGTTACAACAGAACTATGAGTAAACTGTGTTTGTGTCTGGTGTGTGTTTGAGTATTTTGAGTTTTTACACACCCCAGCTGACTCCTTCTCCAGTTTACCAGCAGTCTGGTCTTGGCTGATTCCTTTGAGCTTCCATACTGACGTGCTCCTCTGTAGACGATCAGTTTCACTTAGCAGCGGAGCAGAGGAAGGAACCGAAGTAATCACAGGAGAAGGTAATGTTGAAATGGAGGCTGTGGCCGTAAGAGATGATGGACAAGGTGGGGAAGACTGAGTACTAGACAGAGAAGTATCATTAGGCGGAGGAGACTGAGTAGAAATTGGAGGAGGAGAAGCTGGAGTTGGAGAAAGAGGAGGTGGAAGTGATTGGGGAGGCTCGCCAGATGAGATAGGGAGAGGAGGTGTGGGCACCGGTGTAAGAGGGGGAGGGAGGGATGGAGGAGTGGGCGAAGGTAAAGGCGGGCGAGAAGGGAGTTGAGGTTTGGGTCGCCCTAGCAGTTTGGGTGTCAGACAAGGTGGAGGGAGGGTGGGTGATGAGGAGGTGGAGGTGGCATCGGGTCCTTCTGTCACAGGGCTTGTGTGACTGCAAAGATAGAAAAGGTTGACAGTCAGGATGGTTATAATGAAGGACCAGGAACCAGACCCATGACTGGAGCCACACGTTTGCAGTGGTTGACTAGTTGACTAGGAGTGGGGGGAAAAAAACTCAAGTTAGCAGTAGTTTTGACAGTATTCATAGACTTTTTAACAGAATTAAGGATTCAAAACTCACCTTCCTGTTCTTAACTCTTCAAAGTTTAACACTTTAGTTTTTTAACAAGCCACTAAATTTCCCTTTAACACTTCAAATATAGGCTGCATTGATGATGAAAATGTTTGTCATTAAATTGGTTGTTGTAACTTCTGTGGTAGAATTTAATTACTATTCCTAAGCAAATTAAGTATTTTACGTGTAGCAATGTTTAACCAAAATAAATGACAACGAAGTCCATTTACTATTAAGTGAAGTCTCAGTTATGACATATTTGTAGAGGATAACAAGTAATGTACTTCGTGTTTTAAGTTCACACATTTGTGAACTCAAAGAAAATCTCAAAATCATTTAAAAACTTGCTTTACATCACACACTGTAGTACGTTTAAACAAGTTCAAACGTACGCGTCGCCCTTTTTACACTACGTTAGTACCGCACGTTGTACTTCGCCAAGGTTTAGTACATGTCCGAAATATTTCACCGCCTAACCTCACTTGACCATGCAGTTAGAAATTCACCTTAACCGACGGTATTTTTATTTATTTAGACATTTTGCGATATTATCCTTGTCGTCGAAGCAAGAGGTTTGTATCGACGGTTGCTGACCGACTCCAGGTTCAATCCAGTTCACTGAACCGAGTCCCTCAAACACATTTAGAAACTTTTTTTTTCATGAAACCGTTGCAGTAAAGTTGCCTCGTCTGTGTGAACAGTCTCGTCTTCTAACAGTCTCATAATTTTGTCACAAGCAAAAATGTGTTATTACTTTAAATAGTTTACGTGAAAAAACTCCAGCATTTAATCTAACAGAAACGGATCGATGTATTTGTTTCGCAAAATCTACACCGGAAACTGGACCGTTGAACAACCATGGCCAGAGTATTTCCCCCAAAAAGAATCTCTCTAACATGGCAGTGACTTATATCTGTTGAGTCATCACATCTGTTTTTCCTGTTGTAGGCTGTTTCTAACTTCTCGACCCTCGAACCCCTCTGCCGCACTCTCTTCGCCCCCAACCGCATTAAACGCACCGTTTCCTGGCTGAAGTCTGTTCTTAGCGAAAGACAACTAAAGTCCCCCAGACTCACCCAGCGTCTTTGGAAACACCGCCGTCTTCCATCATATTTCCTCAGATTCAGACTTCAGCTGCTCTCCGCCGCTCTCTCGGCTCCATCAGAAACCCCGCCTCCTCTCTGTCCTCCCTCCTTCTCCTTCCCGTTGATCGCAGCAGGACTGAATAAGGAAAATCCAAACGCAAAGGGAAAAAGAGTTTCTCTGTGTCAGACCACCGTCTGTTTCTGCTCTAACTTCCTGCTGTAGCGGGGCGTGCAGGAAGACACAGGTCTGTGGTCTCAGACCTCCCCCTGCCCTCTGCTCTACGACATCATGTGTTGACATCAACATCTGCCTCAAGCACAAGTTTTTTTTCTCTCTTTCAAACATGACTACCTACGCTGTTTTGTGATCTCACTTGTGTCTGTGGAGAAAGATGACACTGCCGACATGTTCCAAATATTTGACCAATCCCCTTTAGCCTCCTTTCTGTTTCCATCTCCCCCCTCCTTTAAAGTTTTCCAGATGCTTTACCATTCCGCTGTGGAATGTTCTGCTCCACTTCCCTGCTAGTTTCTTTGCTTCCTGATTATTACGTATTCCTTCGTCTGTTACATCCCGTGTCCTTAGCTTGACATTTGAAGGGGGGTCCAAAATTGTGACCAAAAAAAATAAAAAATAAAATAGAAAGTGTGATTGCAAATCCTTAACTATTCATCACCAAGTTTCTTCGACTGGTTCCATTTTGGAGCATTTAGCTCACACCAACAAGCAATACATTCAGAGGAGCATGGGCAGAGTACAATGCTCCAGTTCAAAAAGTGCATTCTTGAGAACATTTTAAGGAATTTTGATAATTAAAAAACTAATATATATATATAGACATATTCTGTCTTTATATATACATACATACATATATATATATATATATATATATCTATATATATATATATATATATATTATAGACAGAATTTCACTCTTTATACTTCTATCCCGTTGGGCTCTAATTCCTTCATGTACTGTAGTATTTATACCAGAAGATATGTATAAATACTTGAGTGCAAATGCTATTTATATTATCATATTATATTTTATTCAATAACTACTGTCCTATGTTGCCACCATGTCAATTTTTCCTTCGATCCCACAACAACAACAATAACAATCACATTATTATTATTAGTAGTAATAATAATATTAGTAATAATACTAATAATAATACAGTGTTAGCTTAGTGGTTAAGGAAGCAGACTTGGGTCCGGAAGTCTTCAGGTTCGAGTCCACCAGCTCCCAAGTTCCCACTGAGGTGCTCTGTCATGGCTCCGTCTCCACTCACTGCTCCCTGGTTCTTAACTTTGGTGATGGATTAAAAACACATTTGGTTGTGTGTAGTGGTGAGTTGTGGCACAGTGACAAGGAGTTCTCTTTATTATTTTATTATTATTGTTATTATTATTATTATTATTATTATCCTCAATGTGAATGAAAAAACAATCAACACAATAACCTACAACATGAAAACAGTCATGACAACAGCAGTGCATCCTGCGTACAACTTGACCGCCTTTAGAAGAAGGAACCTGTTATCCACTGGTTTCTTTGACTCAGTAACTGGACATTGTTTCTGCTGCCACATTTGCATTTGTGATTTAATAACTAGAATAGATCGGATTAGACTGGACTTTGTTGATAGAAAAATCAGATGGAGCTAGATCAAAACCTGTTCAAAATTATTATTAGTATTATTAGATTTACAGGTTGAAAAACCTGATCAAACACATACGCATGAACACCTGACAAATGATGTGTTAAGAAAACTTGTCTAGGCTCGTCGAAGCTGTTCACATTCCAAAGTTTCATTCCAGACAATATTTAAAATGTTTTAGAACTGTTTTTTTAACCAGACTTTTCATATATTTTTTAAAGATAAATCTGTTTATTGTTTTGCACAACTACAACTACAACTACTTACAGTTATAAAATAAAATAAATAACTCTACTTTGGTGTTTCTGCAGACAGTATCAATCTTTACACAGCATTATCAAACGAGGCAAATTATCAAAGCGCCTAGATTTATTTCTGAGCCTCAATGTTTTTAAATTACATTAATTAACAGAAATTGTGGGAAAAATTTTAAAGTAAAAGTAACACGACCTAAAGCACAGCGAGAAAAACACCTGCGGTCGAAGACGACTTCCTGCGCAAAAGTCATGGTCATGTGTTCCGAATTGAACGGCCAAAATGTGACGTAGTATGATACTATCGACATCGTTTGAAAATAAACCACCACCAGAGGGCAATGTGGTACAACTCATTGACAACTGAAATGAAAGTGCAGGAAGTCGATGAAAATGATCTGAAAACAAAATATCCCGTATCGTACTGAGCACTGGCTTTATTGTAGTTACTATTAAATCCTGATGTCGCGGGAAAATGTCATAAACCACAATAACTAGAATAACAGCGCTGCACAAAATACAATTATTTTCTATGCTCCATGTCATTTCGGGGATGATGTTTTTTTTGGTTATAGGTATAAAGTAAGTTGAAAGAATTTTCATTACTCCATGTGTTGACATGCAAATGTGATATTTTTAATGTTGTCTTTTAATAAAAAATCACAATATTAATATGATAACGACATTGTAGGACGATAAAATACATTTTAAATAAATAAGTCTATGCAGAGACTTGTTCCACAGTCTGGGAGCTGTGGCAGAAAAGGCCTGCTCACCCCAGTGTTAATATCTGGTTGTACAAGCTTGTTTGACCCCAGTGTTTTGTCAGGTCATTCCAGTGTGGTGGGCGAGGCCATGGCTATAAAAACAAACACAACCAGAGTGCACTGCAGTGTCATTGGACCTGGGAATAACAGATATATAATAACTATGACATAGAAAATAGGTGCAGTTTCAAACTCAAAGCTGGTTAGCAGACATTTAATTGAATCCTAAATGGAGAGAAACACAAACACACAATGGAAGTTAATTACCGCGAGCCTCCCTGCTACCCCAGCTGCTGCACTAGCGTTTGTCTGCTGTGGACACAGCAGGCAGAGTGGACAGAAAATCAAACTCACTCACAGATTCCCCAGCAGAATCACTCTTTATGACACACACTCTCACTCACTCTTTTTCATACGTTTCCTGGTGACAGAGATCTGTTTTTTTTGTTATTGGTTGGGTTTTTTTTTCTTTTTTTTCTTTCTTTTTTTTACAAAGACACACATCCACACAAATGTATAAATACACACACAAAATTGACTGGCCTAGTTTGGGATAACCAATGTTTTTTATTAAAAAAATGAAAACCCCAAATAACTAGAATAGAACATAAAGCTGCACCCTGCATAGTTCAAGATATGAAGACTGAGACTGAGAGGAGGACAATTTATTTTGAACTTAAATCTTTACTCTTTCTTTATGTAGTTTTCCCCTTTGGTACAATGATATATTGGCATGATATATATGTTAACACATCGTATGTTATGGACAATAATCTTGTTCATGTTGTGAGTTGCTATTCACATTATAGTCTTTTATGATGGTAATCATGGGACTTACAGTGTGAATCTTTGCAACAATTCAACACAGGCTGCCATGGGAGGCGCCATTGGGCCTATGTGGGTCCTCTGGGAATCAAACCCAGGACCTTTTCCTTTCTGTTGGCAAGGCAGGCGTGTTAACCCAAACATTACGGAACATATACACCCTATATATATACATGTACGTCCTGGACAGTTGACCAGTCCATGGCGGAGCCACATATAGAGACAAACAACCGTTTTGGCCTATGGAGTGTCTGACCAACCTAGTCCCCTGATGAGCATGTTTTGATTTGGGGAGGAAGGAGGAGGTCTAGAGGAAACCCACATACACAGAGAGAGAATACTCCATACACAAAGATCAATCAGGGTTCAAACCTGCATGTGATCTTCTTGCTGAAGAGGTTAGTGTACTACCAACATTAGCCACCATGTGGCCTGAGCTCCTAAACGTCAATGATAATTATAATTGTGATCAACAGACCTGTCAGTCTAGGGGTCTGGTGGGGGGGGCGGTTGCTGAAAAAGTAAATTCAGCTTCTCCAGAAATCTTGTCAGCACACAAATATAAACACTCTATAAAAATCTCCCTGTAGGCTGCACAGAGAATACATTTGCACAGTTGTCATAGAAATATTGATGCTAAGCTACACCTTCTTTTCAACGTACTCATTACTGCAACTGTCAAGAATGTATTGCAGTAATGCAACAAATACTACAGCTCTTTACAACCATGCACAACAGGATCATGATGAGTCTTAATCCACTCCATGATTTGTGTTTTAAATTACCACTGAAAACACAGTGTAACTCACCAGGAGGCAACAGGACATATAGTCTACATACTGTTGCTGCTGTGAACTGGCCGCCTCATGATAAAAATAACCATGTTTGTGGTAAATGGTCAGATCTTGGAGCTGCTGATGACGACACTATCAAACTGCACTTTACAGTACTGTGAATATCATTTGTGGCTCTCACTCTCTCTGCCGCCTCCACAATGATGCGTGTTGCATTAACGCAGTGTCGAGGAGTGGGAGGTAGAGGGCAAACTGAAAGGGCTAGAGAAAGATGGAAAGAGAGGAACGCGGAGAAAGTCAGGAAAGGAAATAAAATATTGTGTGTTGTACAGGAGATTAGGAAGGATGATTGATGGAGATAGAAAGGCAGACGGACAACTTCCCTAATTTCTAAGATGTATGACGATAGTGATTTCCCCTGGGAAACTGGCTCAGGTCAAGTTAAATCTAGAAAGGATTGAGAGGAGGAGAGGAAAAACTGCACCACAGAGAGAGGATTCTGTAAGTCAGCTATAACAATGAAAGATGTTCTGGTAGAGAAAAGGGAAAAAGGCCAGATGGAGAGAAGTTGGTCTCTTAGCCGCTCCAAAGCTCTTGAATCCTTCAAGCTGAGTGGAGCGTCAAAGAGTGGAGAGAAAGAATATCAGGGAGACAGGGAGGAATGGATAGAGAGAGGTTATATTGATGAGAGGAAGAGAGAATAAGAGAGAGTGAAAGGGAGAGGAGGAGGGCTCGCGTTGGTGTGTTGGTTGGCAGAGAGAGCGCTTGTCAAAAAAATGTTGCTCTGACAGAAGGCATGATTCAGAGGATAGAGAGAGGGAGGGAGAGGCGGTGGGAGAGAGAAAGAGAGAGAGAGAGAGAGAGGGGGGGGGGCAGGCAGAGCGTCAGAAAAGCAGCAGAGATAAAGAGAGGGATACAGAAAGGAACGGCAAGGGCACGAATACCGGTAAGAAAAAGAAACAACGATTCACATTTGAAGCTAAGGATGGCTACACATGAACAGGAGAGTAGTGAACGGGACGAGCTGGATTATCTGACGCTTTGAAATGATGGTGACCATGTTGATAGGGAACTGGTGTCTCTGTGGACCGGGGTAAATTAGAGCAGGTGGCAGCAGTGATGAAAGAGATGGTGCGTGTGTGTGTGTGTGTGTGTGTGTGTGTAAGAAGGCTGTTGAGGAAAGTGGAAGATATAGAGATAAAGAGTTTGAAGGTCAGGTAACAATCGACTCATTTAAAGAGCCTGAAACTAAACCAAGGATTTCGTCATCAATGCAGCAAACAAAACAAAAGAATTTGGACATACTGATACTGGACACTAGGTTTAGTATTCACCACTCTGTAGACGTCGTGTGTTTTCTTCCTTCTATAGCAAATAATTGTAGGGATATTGATCTGGATTGTTTTTACAGATTTCTCTTAAAGCACCTGACTAAGTTTCAGGGTTTATGCTCTAACAACCTGCTGGACAAGTATTTGTTGTTTAAACAATTTGAAATTCTCAAATGCTGTTTTGGGAGTATATTGTCACAATTTCTCATCTGTTTTTGTCACTCATTCAAGTGTGTGGCTTTGAAATCCCAGCCAATTGTGTCTGCTCACCACTCTTTACCCAAGTGTTGGGCAACCACAGCGGCATTCAGGTAGCTCATGGAAAATGGCGAAACAAGATGGCCACCTTTGCAAAGAAAGCCCTGTGTTTAGAGCTCAAAAGAAAAAAGGTGCAGTTAAAGGTTACTGAAAATGTCATTTATATTCACAGCTATAGTGTTGTCTTTTCATTTGTTAGTTTGGCTGATAGTAGTGTTCAAGTTTTTCACGGTCCACTGGTTTTCATCTAGTTTGTCTTTCTACGTGGCCCTGAACTGAACTGATGGAATTTCAGACTAGAAATCCAAGGAGCTGAGTGTTTCCAATAACATCTTGAAAACTGACCCAAAAAAGCTTTGTCCTTTTGGATCTGTGTCACTGTGGCCTTTCTAAATGGAGCATAATCACATGTTATTGTGATATACTCTGTATATTAGGTGTTAGGTTAGCTTATCTTATCTATCTTTGAAGGTCACATGTGTTTGGCTGTGGTGTTATGTAGGATTATGCTGTGTTGGCTTAGCCCAGTGGTTCTCAATTATTTTATGTCATGCCCCCCCATGGGGACAGAATTGTTTTCACACACCCCAAACCCACACCCCCATGAATTGAAATACTATTGAGAGCCTGATGACGTATATTTTTATCTGTACAAAGTGAGTTGCTGCCACCTAGTGACTGGAGGCTTGTTATCATTCAAGCATTACAGCAGTGGTACACTTATGTCCAGTGTGCCATATTCCATTGGAAGTCACGCAGACCCCCCGGCACCTCACCGTGCCCCTCCAGGGGGGCCCGCCCCACTATTTGAGAAGTACTGGCTTAGCCAGTTAGAGCCCCTGTTTTAGCTGAAGGGTCTTTGAGTTTGTGTTTTTAAACCTTCTCACACAGAGCAGTTGATTTGTTAATTGACAAATAGTTGACCAATAAAGAACATTATTCAAGATACACCGATTAACTTTCTATAATTAAGTTGCTTTTTAGATATGCTGTCAGCTAAGGCTAATTGGAATGGGCAAAACTCAGTACTGTAAGTCACAATTATCAAAACATTCGCAATTGAAATTGGCCAGAAAAGTAGCAATCACTGCATGTTTATTCAATATGTTCTTTGTTGACATGGCAACTGTACCAATTCTCACTCCTTTCGCTTATTTAGAAAATATCTTTGTTTTTGCCTTTTCTTCACAGACAGCGGACAGCCATCACTGAACTTGCTTCCCCATTCATTTCTTTCTCTCTCATCATCTGGGTGTGACTGACAAACGCATCACTGTAAATGTCTAATTGGCTGCAAAACGAGTCAGAACAATAAACAACCAAAGTGAATGCAGTCATGTGGGGAAGGATGGAGGCAAACAATAAGGCTGTCGATTCATCTTTAGATTTAATCTGGACATGATGCTGCTCACAGAGTTGTTTTCCTGTCATGGAGATATTTAAGGGATTGCACTGACATCTCATTAGCGGAGGAGATAAGATTTAGAGTAGAAAAAATAGATGTGAAAATTCCAATAAACCATTTGGTTTTTTCATGTTCCTCACATAATTAGCTGTCATTGTATCCAGTTTTGGACTATTTTCTTGAAATTAGTAAAATTGACAACTTCACAATTCACACCTCAAATTTCCCTCGTGCCTCCCATCAACCCCTCCCACCATCAGTCATTCAACCAAGCATGGGAAAGCCTCTCAGCCGACCTGGATGTTTCAGGAAGAGCTCCTGCTGCCTGGAAAAACATGGAGTTGGTGATGGGAGACTGGGAAGGCGAGATGGAGGAATGGAAGGAGGCTATGGGGACGGCTACATTCCCCAGCGCTCGATCTATGATACCATGTGCATCAATCAACAGATTGACAGTCATCACCACCCTGGTGGGTCAGTGCGGCGAGATTGTGGGATGGAAGGAAACTTAAGTTACTCTGCAAGTGGCTCCCTCCGAGTTTGCAGGTCCCCGGTTGAGATGTTTGACTCTCAGCCCTGCTCTTTAACACCAAATCCATCATTTGTTCGGCGACTGGATGAAAGAGCCATTTACGATTCACTGAAACTTGGTGGTCAGGATGTTGATGGCAGCGGTTTTCACTCACCAGATCACTTCACCAGATCAGCTTCTCCATCAGTGTCATCTTTCTCAGCACCTGGAGTTTCCTCCTTGTCGAAGAAAAACCACCATCACCATCATCACCATCACCATGGAGACAGCACCAAAAGCAGAGATGGACGACACTCCTGGAAAGTCATGACGCCTCCAAAGCCCTTAAAGCGAATGGAGATTAGTAACAATGAAATGATGGACAGAGGAGGGGGAGGATACTTAAACCCCGGGCACTACCCTCCACCTGGAGGTCAGACCTCCTCTCTTACCTCCCCCCTTATTTCCCCTTTTTCTGGCTCTCCAATTTCTTCAGGGTACCACACTCCTGTTTTTTTCTCTCCTGTCAAACATCGTCCCAGTCAATCTCAAAGTTTGCGTTGTTCTCCTCCACATGTCATTCAACAGAGGCATTACTCCCAAACACAGAGTCTACGGCTGTCCCCACCCCACGAGCTCAGACGATCACCATTTCAAGCGCCGCTCGTTCAGTTGTCCGCTCATGACCTTGAACAGGACCTAAGGGATCAAGGAGGCGGATGGGGCCGAAGTGAGCGTGAAAGGGAGTGGGAGAGGGAGAGAGAAAGAGAAATGGAGAGAGGATGGGCCCAGCGGGAGTGGGAAAGAGAGCGGGAAAGAGGGAGACTAGAGAGGGAGAGAGCTAGAGAAAGGGAGAGGAGGGAAACTTTTTTTGGTACCTTTGGTTATGTCAGGCCTGTTCCCCTGCATTCAGACAGAGATTCTGTGTTTTTAGATCCAGACCAGGGCTTGGACACAACACCCCTTTTGCTACCCCAACCGTCACCTTCCCCCTCCCCAAATGCTGCACCCAGAATGGGAACTTGTGCCGTGGGTAGGAATAGAGCAGGGTCAAAAGTTGGTCATGAAAGTTCAGGTGGTGGAATGGTTTCCAAGTTCGATAATGGGAGTGTTGGATTGGTGTTAGTTGACAGCAAATCTGGGTGTGGGCCGAGGTTAGTGAGCGAAGGTGGTGTTGCACACATGTCAGAGGCTGAAATGAGAGCGGGGCTACAAGCACATCACAGAGCCGAGAGCAGGAACAAGTATGATAGGGGCTCCAGGGTTAGTGTTAAAAATGGGTCTGAATCGAGAGTTGCTCCCCAGGTGAAAACAAGGCCCGAGGGACAGGATCGTGGAGAAAAAGTACACTCGGGCATAGACCCAGGTAACATGGTCCTATCTGTACATGAAGTAAAGAGAGGAGAGGCAACGAGTGAAGCTAAAAGTCAAGGGGATGTGGCAAAAGAAGAATGTATAACTGAGTCTACTCCACCAATTCTAAAAGACAGGAGACACAGTATAGGAGCTAGAAAGGAATATGACACTGAGGCTGACAGAGGAAATAAGCCAATCACTGGGGCAGGATTAGAAGCTCCAGGCAGTTCAACACAGACTGGAAGAAACAATGGAAGTTTAGCCAAAGATAATAAAGAGGTTCATTTGGAAGCTGAGTTCAAAGAAAGTGACAAGAGTCAAACAGATGTCAGCGTTGGAGCTGAATTTCAGGCAGAGAAAGATACTGGTTTTCAAAACGACACCCGTAAAAATACAGAGACTAACAATGTTGCTGTATCTCAGCAGTGCATTAAGGCTTCTGATAAGATTGTTTCTAGTGATGTGAATGAAATTGTCCCTAAAGAGCAAGTTGATGAAAAGGCTTCAAATGGCCTTAAGAAAAAATCTAGCCATACAAAGAAAAGTTCAAAGTCCCACAAGTCCAAATCCTCTAAGTCGTGTTCTAGGTCACGACCCGGCACAGCAACAGGCCTACAACCTGGGGTCAGCCCAAAGATAAGACGAGATCTGGAGTCCCCAGGCCCTTTTGAAGGCACTGAATCCACCTGGCCTCGCCGGATCATGGTCAGAAAGAGGACTGTAAGGCAAGGTGGCGCTCTTCACAACCTACCCGTTCTTCCCCCGCTCCCCTCTGTCCTTTCAGCGTTAGAGAAAAGACGGCCACAATCTCTCATCCGTGCAGGGCACTCACCAAATCCTCAAGCAGACGTAAAAACTGCTTCTAGTATCGTGGGGCGCTGCTCACTCAAAGAGCCCTCGAACACAGAGTCAGCCCAGGCGGCTGGGTTTGTAGGTAGGGCTTCCTTAAAGGAGCAGAATCTGGAGCACTGGAGGGTTTGCAGAGATCATGAAGATTCCAGAACTCCACAGAACACTGAGAAAAATGAAGAGCAGAGGAAGAAGTCAAGAAGGAATGAGCAGAATGGTGAGGAGGACAAAGAAAACCAGAAGGTAGAGGAGAGGGACAAAATACAGCACTTTGTGGTTGAGAATATAGAGAATATTCTAGTCTGTGAGGAGCTACTAGAGAAAACCAGCCAAGAAAATGAAGAAATATTTAAATCAAATGACAAAACACCTAAAGGTTTGAAAGGAAATGATGAAGTAATGTCAGAGAAGTTAGACAGTACAAGCGAGGAGATCGAAGATGCGACACTGGAGAGACATGAACAACAGCTGGTGCTGGTGGCATTACAGAGAGACGGATGTGAAGAGGAGGGAAGAGAAGTAGGCCGTATGGGGGATCAGGCAGGGATGGAGAGTTGGGATTCTGTCCTTGAGATGGTCAACACACTCTGGGATGAGGGCTGGCAGAAAGGAGGCCAAAGGGATGAAGGAGATACTGATTCTTGTTCAGGCTCTCTGCAGCGCTGGCCTCTTTTGCGGCCTCCTGTTGGCTTTGGAGGATCACACCCTCCATCCTCAGCTGCTTCTGAGCTGAGCCTTACAGAATTAGAAAGAAGAGCAAGAGAGCTGGACTCTGACCTGGAGCACTTAGATCTGTCCCAGCCCCTCAGGGACAATCAGGATTTACACAAAACACTGTTGGATCCAAAGAGGGAACGAGCTGACATCTACCAAACACATCCTGGGCCGCAGAGAGAGAAAGCTGCCATCTTGACAGGTCTGTTGGTCATTCTTTTCTGCCATCTTGACAGGTCTGTTGGTCATTTTTATTTTAAACCTACCATTTTTTTCTTTTTTCTTTTCTTTTCTTTTCTTTTCTTTTCTGTTCTTTCTTTCTTTCCTTCTTTCTTTCTTTCTTTCTTTTTTACCATCAAAATGTCTGAAACACTATGTAGCTAGTTTAAACAGGGACATGTTGTAAACTTCTTCCTGCCTGTTTGTTTTTAAACTATAAGACTCAATGGATTAGTCAATTAATTCAAGACAAAATCTGCTAACTAAGTTAGCAGCTATTTCTTGACAGTAATCTACAGTAGTCAGTTTTGTAAGGGGTGGTTGTATTTCTTGACAGTAATCTACAGTAGTCATTTTTGTAAGGCGTGGTTGTGAGATCCTTTTAATCAGTGGTTCTCAAACTGTGGTACGATCACTCTCTAGTGGTACGCGGGGAAAATTCATATTTTCACATTTACATTTTCAATTGAATAAATCTGAAACATACCATGCACAATGAATACAACATTTAAACATAAACCTCTTTCTAAACCTCTCTCCTGTGGTGGAAGCTAACAGTGAAGGCCTCTGCTGCTGTATTCTAATGTTGCTCATCATGGTGGTACTGCTTTAAATCATTACTTGTAGCCCTGGTAAATTAAAGCTTCCAACAATTAACAGTTGCTCCACCTCCTCCACAGCCTGCTGCCCTGGTGTGGGCTGCCAGGTGGCAGTGTACTACCCTGAAGTAGTTTCCTTAATGGGTTGTGGGTGCACAAAATGGGGAGCACGGATTTCTAGGTCACTCATACAAGCTGAGTCTGGCCTCTGTCCCAGATTCCTGTCTTTCCATATGATCTCCACATGACTATTAATTCCGCTGTGAAAAGTAGTAGCATCGGAATGATAAAGACCTTTGTGTCTTAACACTGACTGTTATCTATATTATAACAGTTTATCTACTACAATAACCTAGTGTGACATACTCCATGCAAGTGCTCTGCAACCCTCAATATCAAGGAGTCATTTTCATTATTTCACCTTCAAAAAATATTCGGCAAAATCTGCAAAAAACCATTTAATGGATTAAAAGAAGGTACTAATACAGTTTATAAAGACTTGAATGCTGTAGTCATTTCACATTTCACATCACTGCCATTATTTCTATCACTGTTGTTTGTATAGTACGTACGGATGGATAATGAATTATGATATTCATTCTCTATTTTGATATTCCAGGAGTGGGAAGTCGATCCCAGGTCAGTCTGGAACTCACTGCTATGACCTCACCATCTACCAAGATTGAGAGAACCTCACCTGACTGGTCAAGCCAGGGCACAGGGACGTCCAATTATGGCACAAGGTAATTTAAGACAACAAAATGTCAACTATATAAACCAGGGGTTCTATCATACATTTATATTTACTGGTTCTGTGCATGTGTCTGCTTGTTGGCATGTCAACAGTCATTTTTACAATCTTTACAACCAAGGTGACACGTGGTGTCCTGATCCTTAGTCTTTCTGTATTTCAGCATTTGCATGTTTTCATGTGTGTGTCTAGGTCATGTTTTAGTCTAAATTGACCATAACTATGAGCGTCAGTGTGAATGGCTTTTGTGTGGTGAGGTGAGCCAGCTTGGCAGTCCAACAGGGTCCAGATGTGTTGTCATGCTGCCCAGATGTGGCATCGCTTCATCATGTCATGTCTGGTTTAATGCCATCTGGGCTAAGTTCTGTCACTGCATACACTTTACCCTGGGAGTCAGGTCACTCAGAAACAGTGTCTGATTGGACAAAAGAATCAATGACGCTACAGCCCAGTCCTGATTGGCTTTGGGCTCGGTGCACACATCTGTGTGACTTTATTGTTTATATCAAATGCGACATTTTTGAATAACACTCAAATATTTTACTATTAGTGTCAGTACCTGTATTGATTTTTGAATAACACTCAAATATTTTACCATTAGTGTCAGTACCTGTATTATATATATATACATATATATGTATGCGTGTGTATATATATATATATTTACTGTACTACTAAACTATATTTACTATATGTCTATTTGTGTATATTATCATTTTTCAAAACTAAAATAAATTTTCTTTATTCTTAGAAAGTCACATATTCAAAATATTCAAAACACTTGATGGATTATTTGTCTATTTATAGACATTTTTTAATAATGTGGATCCTTGACACGTACAATGCCATCCATACAAGTATTCATGTTAGAATAACAAGTGACTGTACTGATCTGAGATACAAACACAAAGCTCTGATCACAAATTAAGTTACAATAAACAAACACTTTAAATATCCAATCAAAAGAGTTGTCAGAGTTACAGGAAATTACCTTCACCCAAGAATGTTAACATCTTTTTTCTATTTTTGTCCTTTTCCCAGCTCTACTAAGGAGGACAGCTCTCCAGACTCCAACATAACACTGGAGTCTGACTCCAGCGGCATCTTCCTGTCCTTGTCCAATCAGAGTCAGGAGGATGCAGGCTCCGACAGTGACCAGCCAGTCAGTGGTTCAGACCTAGGCAGCAGCACATCACTGGAGAAAGATGGGGCTGAGGGAGGACTCAAGGAATGGGGGAGAGAGGAGAGTGCAGAGCTGCAGTGGTGCTACCCCTCTCTCCTCAACACGTCCCCAAATGATGACACTGGATTTGTTGAAAGAGAGCAAACAGAGTGTGGGACGACGGATAGGGATGATGAGAGAGAGGATACCACAGATGGAAGGACAGATGGTAAGATAGGGATCGTTTCAATCACTAAGTCCTCGGTCAGCCTTACAGACTTTGGAGGCTGCCGCTCTCTGAGTGTGCAACAACGTAAAAAAACATCTCCCAGGAAAAGGGTGGCCCTTAAAGAAGATGAATCCTCTCTGATGCTGTCTCCCCTAGAGGAGTCGGCCAAACAGCTGTTAGATCTTAAGCAGAAGCCAATCAGATCATCAGGACTGGACTGTGGTGACATTGATCCTTTTGTCCAATCAGACAGCTTTGTATACTTGGCTGTTTCTGCGGGACCTGACTCCCAAGGTGCAGTGACAGAGTTTGGCCACCGTAACACTAAAGCAGGCACAATACACACGAGACTGGATGAAACAAAGCCACATGTGGGCAGCGTGACGACACAGCTGGACCCCACGACTGTAGACAAGGCTGCCAAGCTGGCTCATCTCACCCCACAGAAACCAGAGGAAGGGGATTTTTTGTGCACAGACAGTTTTGTCTACCTGGCTGCTCCAGCCTGCCTCCTACTGGGTCCTCAAGGAACTACACCATACAGTGGCAGGTATGAGCAGTTTTGTTTGATCAAATACAATAACATTGTTTTACAATTTATTTTGTTTTAGTATAGTTTTCATCATTTCATCTTCATTTTACAAATATGAGAAGTAAGTTCAAGTGTGAACCTGTTACAAAAAGGAGAAAGTGGCAGTTGAACTTAAACCGTCTTCTTTTTAAATTCGACGTAAAATCCTTTTGGGTGATACAGGAACAAAGATAGGTATGACAGTAAAGTTACAAAAAAAAGTTAAAAAGTTAAAAAACAAGATAGGTATGACAGTAAAGTTACAAAAAGTTAACTTGACCCATACAAGTTTGTTTTTTTGACCTTTTTTGACCATCTGATATTAGCTCTGCAATAAAAATGGGGGACAAGGGGCTATTTTTACACGGCTGCAATGCGACTACAGAGCCTCTTGATGCAGAGCAGTCTTGTACTGTTCACATTGACCTGGTGACCCTGGTTCATGTAGTACATACGGCAGACCTGTATGTGGCACTGTGTCGCCCCTACATTAACCTAAGAACACCAGAAAAACAAGATGGATGGAGCATGGTGCAAAAGAGGAATAATTAGCTGTATCAATAATTAGCATCTCTAGCATGGTCAGAAGTAGCCTGGTGGCTGCCATTTTTGTTATTGTGCGGTGTTGAGCAGCGGTGACTGGGGTAAAAGGTTACAGAGAGATGAGGCTGACCACAATGTCTCACCCTGCTCCATATAGAGATGCAGAATTAGAACATATAAACTGAACATACTTTATTTATACATTATCTGTTGGGGTACTGATTAGATGCTTGTAGCTTTAAGATACAATATGATTCAATTCTTACAGTATATGGTCACTATGCCTATATATACTAGCCCTATATTTATATTTTATTTTTTAATTTTAATTGCTCATGTTCTACCATATCCCAATGTACTTGTTGGGCACTCTGGGTCTAAATCAAAGGCCGAATCGGCACTATTGCTCTGGGATCTGTAGTCCTGTCGCAGCTGTGTAAACATCACCACAGATTGTAGGTGCAACCTTAACACAGCTTGCTCCTACACAACGTCACTCTAACGTCATTAGAGATATCACCATATTCAGCACAATGGCAGGTGTTTTGTTAAATTACTCGTACTGTAACAGAACAAGTCTTACAGTGAGTCATTCTTCTGTCTTTGTCCGTGACGTTAAAATACCTCCAAACTGCTAACATTGTTGACCTACTTTAATAAACTACACATCTGGGCAATGACAAGCTGAGCTTGTCAGTTTGTCTGTGCTGTATTGAAAAAAGGTCATTATATGGAACAACAGAGAGAACAAGGACAAGGTCCTTTTCAATGATTAAAGGATGCACATAAGTATGTTTTTTACACCTTTTGAGATACTTGATATACTGCAGGAAGCTCTGCAACAAAAGTTCTGAACTGCATATGCACCTCCAAGTTTTAAACCAGTTTTAAATCTTTTTAGCAGACTTTTTTTTTCAAATGAAAAACTATCAGCAACTATTTCATATTTGAATCTATTGAAATAAGGCACAATACTTACTAATATAAAAATAATGGCCTCTAGATGCCATTCAATGCCTGTAAAAATAATGGCCTCTAGATGCCATTCGATGCCTGCTGAAATACTTTGCATAAGAATTTAATACAAATTAATACTTTGCATCAGAATTTAATACAAATTAAAAATATATAAATAATAATAAAAATAATAATTACAAACACAGTTTTTAAAAAGTACGGTATGAGCTTTTTCCTCCCTGTGGACAGCGAACTGTCTTCTTTTGACGCTGGAAAAGTCCCACACTACTGCCGCAACGTTCTCTGTTTATAATTGTATGACGCACGTCGTTCGTTTTCCCATGGTTTATACTGGGTTATGGATAAAATACTTTGATTAAGACGTTCATATCAAGTCAAGTGTAAATTTAAACGTTTTTCAAGGATACTGTTGTTTTTCCGATTATAGCGAAGCTATATGAACGCAGCATTCACTGCAGGCCCTTCAGGTGTTTTTATTATAATTGGGAGCGCCTGCAGCGCCTGATTAAAAAGTAACCCACACTGCGGTGCTGACGAAAATATATATCATATATTATCGGGACTTAAATATCGGGACGGAATTATGTCATACTTTACAGGTATCGGTGCCTTTAATTGTAATTACTGTGCACCCCAAACATTTTGACACGTACTGCCACATGTTAATTTGTTTTAGCCATCTCTGAAGCATTAGCACTGATTATTATGCGGTTTAATTTTTCTTTTTGGATAAATTTGACGGTACAGACAATACCACCTTGTTTTTCTTTACTCTGTAGTCAGCCATTTTGTAACAAACAGATTTATGTCGTTATTTAAGGAAATTATATTCAGTTATACATAGTAAACAGTACATTCACATAGTGTAAATACATGAGGTAGTCACAAATAGTCAGAGGATAGAAATATAAGAGTGAAGTGTGAATTGTTGATCTTAGCATGCTCCACCTGGGATTGAATCTCCTAGGACTATAGTTGGTACAAGTTAGTTTATGGGCCACAGCTTTAAGAACTTCTTTCACAGTGTCTCCTTACAGTCAATTTATTCCACAATAATATCATTTGTTGTGTTGTTTTTGTGGGTGTCTGTAGTTCACTACGCACACACTTTGTATAGTGATCAAAACATTCGTGGACTTCACTTGCTGATTCAAGTCAAAGAATATTTATATTTATTAAATGTGTTTTGTTATTCCAGGGACTCGGACTCAGAGAGTTCAGGTTCTGGCCCAGTGGATGTTTCAGTGCTTGGTTGTGACAGTGACTGGGACTCAGATCTGTCTGATTCCGATCCCAGTCGCTGCTCCAGGCTCTCGGGTATCAAATCAGCTGCAGTATCCCAACCACAGCGGGACCCTGCGGAACCCGACTGGGACATGTATGGAGAAGTGACGGAAGCAGAAGTGCCCACTGAGCTCTTCACACAACAGGACCGAAACAATGATAGCAGAGCAAGAACAGTTACCAAGGTAACAACCTGTATGGCAGCCACACCAGACGATGCCATGGCAACACAACCTACTACTACACAAGTAAAGCTGTCATCAGCAGCAGAGCCATCAACCACAACAAAGAAAGTGACGTGGCAGTTTAAGCCTGCCCAGCGGTCAGTGTGTACAGGGAGCAGGAAGGAGAAAGAGAAGGAATTCACACCGTCATCATCATATGGAAGGTTCAACGAAATGGGTGGAGACGAGATGCCCCGATCCCGTCATTCACCCTCCTCATCTTCATCATCGTCGCCATCATCGTCCTCATCCTCTGGCTGACTCATGACGACAATGTTCAACATATCGTAAAGCTGATTAAGTTTCAGTAAGGTAAAATGAAATCTGTTCTCTAAAAAGGGGAAAAAAATGTTTTGGACAGAAAACTTGTGGTCTTTTGCACTCTCTGGTTTTAAAAACTTGATTAAGTTATTTGTAAATTTTTCTTAAAAGAAACAAAAACTTCATGAATTATTTATTTTTAATGGAAACATGTAATACACAATATAAATCCAAATATAAAGTATCAAAAAGGTTGTTATTATGTACGTTTACCGGCCACTTCATTGGGTACATCTAGCTTACAGTACTACCTGCTCGTGTAGTCGTAGTTTTACTTTAAGAGTTGCCTTAAAATTTAATTCAACAACAAAAATCACTTTAATTCTCGGAGAGTTTGGTCCACATTGACAGTGTTTGATGCACATTCTTCACCACGTTCTTAATGTACCCATCTGCAGAGGTCCACAAACAGCAGTGTCATATTAACATATTGTTTTCTTTTTTGTCTATGACCCTCATCCAGTGTCCCTTTGGTCTATGTCTGAAAATAGTCAACAATCTTCCAGATGTCCTGTACTGTAAAAATAAAGGACAAGGCCACGATTTAAGAAAAAAGCTCAATTTAAATGACCAGCTTAAAATACAAATTCAACATACCTATATATGACCCAAAAAACTCATCTAATTCTGGAACAGAAAGACACCAGGTGTATGGGTTTCTCATCTGTTTCTATTCATGACTAATTTAAATGATGAATTCATTAATATGGTAAAGCTTCAAGAAACATTAATTTGAGCTTTTAGCTAAATGTCATCGACACAGTGGTTTGTACAATGTGTTTCTTTCAAAATTTCAGTGAAGCCTTTGTTCTCAGCAATATTAATCAGTCTTCAATCCCTCATGAGACATTTGTGTCAGTCAGTTTTTCAGATGTAGGTTTACTTCATGTCCTGTGTTCAGTGAGCCTGGTGTGACACAAGCCAGGTGTCCGACACACACGCTGGGTGTGAAGGTGGTATTTTCAGCTGTGTCAGTGTTCAGTGTCAGTAAATGGTAATGTCTGTGTTGACCGTCTATTCGAAAAACAATAAGTCGAGGGATAGTGGAATTAAGGCGGGTAAACAGTTCACAACATCCTCAACCTATGGCGTTTCTCCCATAAATGTATGAAGAAAGTCTTGTTCCATCATTCCAACGTACAGCGTTAAAAAAAAATCTTGCACTGGAACTAGACGAGCGGAACGGATGAACACTTTGTCAACACGAAAGACGGCTTACGCTGAACCCCCTGAAACAGTCGTTCTGACTGTGATATAACATGATAAAAAAAGTTTAATCTGATTCATCTTTATTATGATTTGCAAGTTAAATTCAAGAGCCCTGTTTTTTCTAAATATATCTTTATCCAATAATCACTACAGCTTAAAGGCCAGTTGGTGGTTTAACAGTGTTACCATCCTGAGCTCTCTGTTTCTAAGACCTGGATCTGTGGAGAAAATGAAAGTGCAGTGAATTTTTCTGTCTCTGCTTGAAATGAACTCCCTGAAGATAGATACAGTTTGGTCAGGAAGGGGTTTGGACGTGCTGCACAACAATACTCAGGAAAGCTGTGTATTGCACGTGTGTGAGTCCTACATGGAGTCATGCTGACAAAAAAAATATGCATCTTGTACAAGAGACCATGCAACGTTTAAAATCGTTTGAATCTTATTTTTACCAAGTCTGAAGATCAGCAGCTGTTGGTGTATAGTTTGTATCTAAATTGATGAGGTCACTGCCGGGTGATTGGGCTGATTAGACAAAGTCACTAACAAGCAGGCAGACTCCAGTACATAATGAAGTGGCCACTGAGAATATTTGTTATTGTAATAGTGAAAAAAAAAAACCATAACACAGAACAGACCACGAGACAACGTGTTCAACGACAGCTGATATTTCACTCTGAAAATCTAACATCAACTTACTGTGACTTATTTACTGCACTGTGTGATATTATCACTAGTATGTGATCCGTTGGTTCTGATCAATCACAACCTTGCTTTACAGTTGTGTGTTATTTTTAAAATCTTTACTAAAAAGACTAGGGTTTTTTTTTTTTTTAAGTACTGCAGGTTGTTGTGTAAAACTTGATTTAACTTGAAACGGTTTGAGGCTCAGGCTAAACGGAACCTTCAGGTCTCAGACTCCTGAGAGCCTTTAAAAGGGTTGATGTATTTTACACCTTTAACGTATTCTCCATTCAAATAAAAATAATAAATACATGTACAGAGCAGGGTATTAACATATATACAAAGAATCTTATGAAACTCACTGTTTTACCTCTTTTCAATGATTAACACCCCGTTCAGAGACTCTCTGTGTCACGTGTGTACATCGAGATGACCTTTACTGTATATATTCTATTTTATAAGCAGATCTGACTTTAACAGTGTGCTTCGTTGTCTGTGTGGAACACTGAATGTGCAGACGATCAAATATTTTAAAGGGTTAGTAATATCTTTTAATTCAAATACAATATTTATCATTTAAATTTGAATTTGTGAATGTAATAATTAAGCAATATGCTTATGAACTGTTCAGTGTTTTAGTCACTTTGGAGATGAACTTTATTAATGGAGATTACTATTTATTACTAATGCCGTCATGGACTATTTTTAAGGCTTAATGTGCAATGTTTTTTACTTGTTTAGAGGTGGTTTTTATATGATCTCCAGTGACAGTGAGACCACAGCTGGGAGGCTGTGAAAGTGTCTGTGCAAGTAGTTAACACATTTTTAAAAAAAAGTTAATTAAAATGTCTCATTTTGATCCAACCCTCATATCATCAGTGACATCTGTAGTAAAGAAAGAAGATTTCTTCATATTTACCTTTTTCTTCTCCTCACTGTGGGAAAATCTGACAGCTCAGCTTTGTTTGTGCTGAAAACACAGGGAGATTTCCCACCAGTGAAAATGTAAGGCACAGAATCTGAAGGTTTTGCGGCTGCCAGTCATCCCAGCAGTGGTCTTGTTGTCGGGAAGTCATGACTTTTGTTGTCTCTAAATGAATGTGCTGCTCTTACAATGGATTTGAAGAACCAACCTGGAAGTGTTGGTGGTCAGCTACAATGATTGTAACCAATGACACGTGGATGTTTCACAGATGATTACGAGTCAGGCAATAATATTTCATTTCAATATGTGGATCTTTATAGACAGAGCTGCACTGAAGACTGATCTTTATAGACAGAGCTGCACTGAAGATGACTTCTAGTCAGGTTTGTGTTATAACCTCACACTTTAACTTGTCGTTTATGACTTAGCTGCTTGTAATGACTGACATGTTGTTAACCAAACCTGGGTGTCAGATTCAGAGATGGATTTATAACCTGTGTGTCAGGACAGTGTGTGTGTGTATGGGAGGGGGGGGAGTGTTAGGGCCATGTTGAGATTAAAATTATCAGATTTAGGTCGTGAATTTATGAGAATTATGTTTAAATTTTGCAATGTTATGAGAAAAAACATGTAACATTCCAAGAAAAAAAGTTGTAGATTTAAAAAAAGAAGTAATAATTTACAAGATTAATTTAAGGGTGCATTTTTGGGGATTAATGGGGATAAAATTATGGCTTTTTTTCTCATATGAAGTTATGACTTTTGTCTCAATGTTTCGACTTGAATCTCGTTGTACTGGTAACCTCTGTAACTGAACATGTTTAACTGGCCATAGGTATGAATGTGTGTCTATAGTTGGTCCCCTGTGTCCCCACTCTTGCTGGGATTGACCCCAGCGTCTGCCACTCTGAGATGGATTAAGCTGTAATGAGATAAAGAATGTATTTCAATGGGGAAATGCACTGGTTTCTAAGCAAACCAACACATTTAAAGCTGCAGTCTTTAGTTATTTTCAATGTCCTTATGTCGATGCTACTGAAGGCTAACAATGAATGATTCCAAATATGTAATTTAAATATCCTTACGTTGCTGCGAGACTTTCAGTCTGATATTTTTTAAAATATTTATAAAATTTGACCATGTTGAAGTATTTTTAACAGATGCCCTTGTAACTAGATACAGTATATGGTATTAAACAAAAACATGTGTAGGAATGCTCTCTACTTTAACACAAAAGGTATTTGAACCTCAAAGAGATGATTGACGTCTAGGAGAAAGAAAAGAAGAAAAAGCCGTTTTGTTGTTTATTCAAACATACGTTGATTAAAATGATTAAATCTGTTTTGGCTTGTCTTTAAAGTCACTGCATGTCAGGTAATGTCAATATTTTATCGACATTACTTTGTAATCTCTTGATTTAGTTACATCATTTCAGTAACTCTGGCACAGTCAAACCTTGAATTTCAGATGAGGTACAGATGAAACGGTTGTTTTTCCACCTAGGGCTAGATGTCTTAGGTGGAAAAAAGAAATGTAATGAGAAAAAAAAGAACTGTTTTGTATTTTGGCCTTGAAGATTCAACACATGCAATGAAAGACAACTTTGATACAAGTTTTTATTGAATGGAAAGTGTTTTCCTAATTTTAAAGATATTTTAATGAAGGGTTTTGTGCTGTTTGTGACACCACTGAGAGACAGAATGTCAGGAATTCATGTCGCTGGGTTTGACAAGCAAAAACAAAGGGATAGAGCAATTGTGAGACTTCATGAACATAGACATTTTCTTCTTGCTATGACAGTTATTTTGGGAGTGGAATGTGGAAAAAATACACGAATCTTTGGCAATGGACTTTTGTCTGTATTTTAAACCCTTTAATTTGTTGTTGGAGAGAAAATGTTTTTTACTTCTTTTTTTTTTACTGGCCATTAAATTTGAATTTGTGAGTCACCTGTAAATGGTTTGAACAATATCACACTTGCTTTAAGAGGGTTGGTATATGGTGTATTAAGCTGATTGTTAATTCGGAAATTATTTCATTTATTGTTTGATTTAAAATGTCAGGAAACGACAGTTGTGGTGACGCCACAGACCTTTACCCTTTTATATACAGTATGTATAGGGTGTGTGTGACAGTAATATATTGTTGAAGGTCGTCACTGCAGCTCCAGTCTGACAGTGTCTCAGTGACTGTGGAGAGCTGTGCTGTTTATTTAGTGGTGTTAAACATTGGTGTTAAACATTGGACACCGTACTGCCTGAACAAACATGTCGGACGGTTCACATTGCCAAACTTGCCAAACAGACCTTTAGTTTGTACGGCTTAGTAAAGGCTGTTCCCGATAAAGACAAGCCCTGCATCATTTTTGAGTAGCACTCGAAAAGCTGTTTTGTATTGGAATAGTCTATTTTTTTAAGGCTGCTGCTTCACATGTCTGCCCTAGGAAAGGACGGTTGGATCAGTGGGATTCAAGCTAATACAGTAAACCTACCATGCTGTGTGAGAAGATCAGTCACATGATGGTGTGATTTTCTTTCTTATTTTTTTTCCTTTTTGTCAATAAAGTAACATATGATTCTTGCTGGCTTTAAACTGTGGCAGAACATCTAGTTTCACTGTGATATATTGGACTAACATACACTCGACATTGTTACATTGGCTTTTGTAAAATCCAGTAATCATTTGCATATTATTAAATATTTTTGGCTGTTCATGTTTGATCTAACTATTGATTAACTAAGACCTGAGAGACCTGTTTGTGTAGTGGCAAAAGATCATTTATGTGAAATCTTAGTGTGTATTTTATTCTTTAGCCTTGCTGAAATGCATTAACACAAATAAAGACTTCTCCTGATGATGGTGTGTTATTCTGACCTGTGTCTTCTCTCTTCGCTGTCACTTCAGTTTGTGATATTCGATTTGTCAATGGCAGGACTCTGGTGTGTTTATGCCCTAGATTATGACGTTACCACGCGTTAGCGTAGGTCAGTGACATAGGTACTGATGTACAGTAAGTGAGGTCAGACTTACGATTTGTCAGAAATTGAATTTAAATCTATATATATAAATAAAACCATAAAAATACCTAAAACACTGCATAGAAAAGAATTATGAGAATACAAAAATCAATGTTTATAGAAGTTTCTGGATCTGTTAATATAAGTCGACTGAGTGACAACAGGCAAAAAAAAAAAAAAATGTCCTGAAAGATTTCAACACAAATGTACTGTATATATTTCATCAGGGTTCCAGTTGGGTGGGAACGAAGCCTTACAGTATGTCTCAGCAGGACAGAGCAGATGGTCATCTGCATATAGGGTTACATGGTTTTTATTACCCCCTAGATGTATTTCCTCAGGAAGTGGGTGGGCTCTATGCCAACTGCCAAGGGCACTAGTGCAATGGTGAACAACAAGTGGGGCAGAGGACCCCCACGCTGGGCACCACAATGTTTGTAAAGTGGACCTGATTTGTTCCTGTGAGTTTTTATTATTTTTTTGTTAGGAACATTTAATCACATAAAAAAGGTTTTTGAGAGATTTAAGTCTAACTAACAATGGAATTAAATTGAAAGACTTTAGACCATGTCTAACTGACCAAATGTCTAACTGTGTCAAACTCAAGGCCTGGGGGCCAAATGTGGCCCGCCAAGCCATTTTGTGTGGCTCACGGGAGCTTAAAAAGTATTTAGTAAAGTCCATTAGTCTGTTATGGAGTCGTTACATCTATGTCAGCGGTCCCCAATCATTTTTGTTCTAAGGAATTGTTTTAAATTTTCAAAAATAAATTTTCAAAATAAACCATCTACTAGACTCTATTCTGTTTGTATCAGTGTCTGAATGACTTTTATTTTCAAACATTGCCAGATTATTTTAAATAAAGAAAGTAAATGGATATGACTGGATTGTCTTTGAATGAAGTCAATTAGTAAAGCACATTTTCTCACTGTGTCCCAGTGCAGCATTTACAACTGGTCCTTCAAGGGGAACTGTATTGTTGATGTGGCCCTGGGTGAAAGTGAGTTTGACCCCCCTGCATGGAATATCCAGCAGTGTGAGCCTAAGTCAGTGATCAAATTATGAGCCTGTGTTTTGGACCTGTTGTGGATGAATGACATTTAAAAGGCACAATATTTTGTAAAACAATAATGTTGTTCTGTTTCTGCCTTGTGTTTCATGCCAGTGTGTTAGAAATCCACCAAAACCCCGTCTCATTCAGACATGTATGGTGTGTGATGACTGGTGTCAGTAATGTAGGTCCATCCATCTATTTAAGGCTGATTAATTAGAGCACTTTGAATAAGGCCAAAGTGAAAAGAGTGAGTAAAAAGAGAGAGAGAGAGAGAGAGAGAGAGAGAGAGAGAGACTACCATTATAAATAGTTTATCTTTGTTCTCGTTCCACAGCCACCACGGGGACCATGGTGTACTGGGCCATATGACACAGTCTGTTTGTTAGATTCTGTGAAAACATTTGAGCATATTTATTGTGAGCTTGGTGTTTGGGTGTGAAGTTGTCTTTTGATTCTATCCATTAATTTGACTAATTTCATAACTGGATGAAAGATTAATTCCCCTCTAGATACAAGTGATGCCACTCATGACAGACACGTGTGAGACATAATGAAATTAACACACAACAAGTCGGTCACAAACCATTACCCTGGAGAAGACACAGTGCCCTGTGGTTTCAGATGTTAACAAACATATTTTTTAAGATTTGTTTTAACACTCCTGAAACGCTGTAGGTCGAGGACGTTGTAAACCGAGGACCCCTTGTATTGATTTCATTTTCGATTACCAAAACATCAATAACTCTCTCAAGGAAATTAATCAATCACTGTTTGACATTGAATATGTTTTACCATGAACGCAGCACACCTGATGACATGTCCTATATTCTCATTTCCTATACTGTACATAGACATTGGTGTTAAGAGATAGAGTCAAAAATAAGCACAACTATGCAAATGTAGCGCGCCTCGCTGCCTTTCTCCGGAGCGAGCTGCCTTTCTTCTTGTTCTGTGTGTTTTGCTGTAGATGTGTGGGTGCCTCGCAGCTTTTTTATTGTCTGTGTGCACTGCTCTGCTTCTGTGTGGGTGCTGGCTGTTTGTATGCACTGCATGTGTGAAGAGAGAAGGACAAAATGAGCTTTTTGAATCACAGCACTAACACACACACAGCATTCAGGAGTATAGAGTGGAAAGCATCAGGAACTTAAGGTTATATATCTAGGGCTTTAAAGAATTGTCGCACATTCAGACCACGTGGTCCCATCACTGTCTACAGTCCCAATGACAGACTCAAGGTCTGCAGCTGTGGTATGTATGGGACACGGAGCGATTTGATTGGTCTACGAGACGTTGTGTATTGCCTGTTGGATCCAGGCTTCCACGCCGACATGTTCAGACTACTGAGCCAGTGGTGGTTCAGTCAGTGCACTGCAGCGCAGGCTCAGCTCTCCACCTCGTGCTCATGTCTCTGTTTCTCATGGATTCTCCATCTGTAACAAACTCTCTGAAGGCTCTGTCTGCAGGATCTGTCTGGGATTTAAATGTATTTATTTATTTATTTGAACAGAAACATATGTGACCACTGGTGTTTAAAAGAGAAGAATGCCTCTTTGTCAGACATTTTGTTTTGTACTGTCACTGTCAAGTCTACATACTTTAAAGTGTTTATCAATAATTCAGCTGTCAATCAGCTCTACTGTGTGTATGTGTATGTGGGGGGGGGGTAGGTGACCCTCAGGTTCACACAAAGTCGGGTGAAACGGTCAAAGATATGTAGAAAAAACACGAGTTATCAATAGAACTACAGCCGATTCACTTAAAGAATTGATAGCAGACAGAGACAGATGGACAGAAAGGTGCAGACAGGGAGTTGAGCTCATGAAGCCTCTAGTGGTAGAGGACTGACATCACGGTTTGAAACGTGAAGCAGTAAGAAAGGTTTGACATAAAAGAAACAATTATATACATTTTTACTTTTTCTATGACTTTTGCCTCGTGTACTGTATGTCTGTGTGTATGTACATGTATATTATATATTTTTACATACATAATTCTCTACCCCCACTTCATAGTTAATACAGTTCTATCTATCCATCTCTCTCTCTCTCTCTCTCTCTCTCTCTACTTTCACAATCAAACTGTACTTGGTGTCAAGGTCAGTAGAAAGTGTTGGGTTTGAGGGGGGGTATCATTAACTGTAAAGAGATGAAAGTACAACAAAACAGAATACATCATTTACTAAATGATGTATTCTAGAAAACATCAGACGTATCACTAAGGTCAAAGAGCAAGGCCAGGTCCAGGTAATAGCCCTGTGGTGGTAATCACCGGGTGTAGTCACCTACTGCATCCCTCTCCTGTGACCTCCATTAGGCTGCTTGGTTTTCCATAGGAGGTAATTATGATTCGTGTGTAGGATGACTTGAGGCATAACAGTTAGCTTTGCTTTGACAGTCACTTGTTTGACACAAATACAGAGAAGGGGGAGAGGAAATGTGATAGAAGCAAAGCAGATTGAAGATGGATCACCAGGTTATATAAGACCACCACCAACATCATGGTAAAGACCTGAGAGAGAGAAGCTATTTAAAACCTGCATGGGCTAGAGCTCAAAGAAAGAAGCAGTGTGGGTTGATATGTTGGTCATCACAGGAAACTGTGTGTGTGTGTGTACGTGTGTGTGTGTGTAGTCTGTGCTTCCCCGCTCTAAAATCCTGGCAGCGTGTGCCTGCAAAAATACTGTATATTGAGGACTGGAGCCTTTCCACAGTGCAGTGTCAAATTTTCTGGTCAGATTTTCCAAATCATTCAGTTGTCATGGTGTATGTGTGTGTTTGCTTAGAGAAACCATTTGCACTTCCTTCTGAGCTACACAGTGCGTTACTATTTTCGTCCAGATGTAAAAATATAACATGATAAAAATATAATACAGTTTATTACATATGAGTTCCTGTGGATATTTACACATGTGTAAATGTAGAAGAACTCACTGAGTCATTTTGACTGTACAGAAGTTTATAATACTGTGTTCAGGAGCGGGGTTTGAGTTAGCACTGCCAGAGGCTAACACTGCCATAGGCTAACACTACCAGAGGCTAACACTGCCAGAGGCTAACACTACCATAGGCTAACACTGCCAGAGGCTAACACTACCATAGGCTAACACTGCCAGAGGCTAACACT